TGCCTGATTTTTGTTCAAACCAAGATGCAGTAATCTGCTCTAGCCATCTGTGGAAATATCTAAAAGCACAAATTACTTGAATTGCCAGTTGCAACCTCAGAAACCTGCTTTAACTTCTGGTGTAAGATGACTCATAACAAAACACATGCCTAATTTTGAAAGTTAACTTCCAGACTTAGCATCTCTCAAAAGAGAACTATGTGCAGGGGGACGGGAAACAACATTTAACAAAATGCACTGCATTTCTGTTTACTGTAACTCTTAAGCTAAGCAAGTAAATGAACTACAAGTGTTATCTTTGGGAAAACTTTAGTGAAGCAACTTCCTATTTTACTTCAAAGATTACATGCACCTAAAATGTCAGTATAATATATATCCTGGTTATGTAGGGTACTTAAAAAAAAACACCACAACCCTCTCAACACACTTGCTTCCTGGTTGTCTTCATTTCAATTTCTTTTTATAACTGCTCTGTTCCTTGGATTTCTAAAGCTTACAAATATGTTATCAGAACTGAGAAGCTGAAATGGCTACATGCCCAAAATGATACCGCAGCTTTTAATGAATTTCTTTGTGTGTACTAACAACACGATGCAACTTTCAAGTTCATGTGTTTGCGTGGCGGGGCGGGGGGGGGGGGAGAGATATTTGTTGTGCCTGAGAGAATGTGAGAGGGACAGAGAAAGAACGAAAGTTACAGGATTATAAGATCTGACCTTTAGCAGTAACTCTACTGGCTGTTAATTCCCAAACCAGATCACTATATATAAAATAAGTCTTATCTATTTCTGTTATGGGCAAAAGGAAAGGACACACTGCCGTCACACAGGCATGGGACAGGTGACTGGGAAAAAGCAATGGTGACTTTGACCTGATAAGAGAGGCCGGTATGCAGTTTTATAGACTGGCAGGAAGAGAAACAGATTCAGGCTGCATCCTTTTGCACAGCGACACGCTTCTGAGCAAGCTTGCACAGGTTTGCATCATTAAGCTTAATCTAGATAGCATTTTTTTTTTTTTTTACAGAGCTGTAAGTGGTTTGAAGGAGGCATCATTCTGCTCAAGTTACTTGTTTGTTTGCAATGCTCATGTGTGTGTGTGTGTGTGTGTGTGTGTGTGTGTGTGGCTGTCACCTCTGGTCAAACAGGTTTTAGAAATGGACATTAAACAAATTAATAAGGAAGGATTTGAAACCGTACAAAAACTTGTTTTCCAGAGAAAGAGCAGGGTTAAGTATGTCCCTGCAGGAGCATTGCTAGCACTGCTAGGAGGCAAGCCCAACCTTTTGTCTCAGGTGCCTGCCTATCCCTGCCTGCTAGCCAGTCACCCCAACCCCTAGACAAGGATGGAGTGAGTGCCTGCTAAATGCAGTTGTATCCTACCACCAGTGTCCCAGATCCAAGTCTTTGGCTTCTGTGCCTTCTGGGGGGGGGGGGCGTTCCTGGGAGGGAGGCACCCACCCTTCCTCCTCATCCACCCAGTACCTGGCAGTCAGCAGCTTACAGGCTTTGTAGTTATTGTCCTTATTCAGATCTCATATTTGATTCCCACACTTTTATCAAAACACAAATGCTGCTTCAAATGCATATACAGTGGTACCTCGGGTTAAGTACTTAATTCATTCCAGAGGTCCGTTCTTAACCTGAAACTGTTCTTAACCTGAATCACCACTTTAGCTAATGGGGCCTCCTGCTGCCGCCGTGCCACTGGAGCACGATTTCTGTTCTCATCCTGAAGCAAAGTTCTTAACCTGAGGTAATATTTCTGGGTTAGCGGAGTCTGTAACCTGAAGCGTATGTAACCAGAAGTGTATGCAACCCGAGGTACCACTGTACTGTACATTTTGAATACGTTTCATCTACCATTTTGTTGAAATCTAGCACTGGGGATTGCTGCTTACATACAAGTGCCCTAAATACTTTTTAACACGTTCTTATTTTTACTGGTTATTATTCCAGATGTACACAAGGACTGTGCATGACAACCGACTCTTGAATACATCACCTCACGTTTCATAAAACACCACTAAATTATCCTTTCAGCACATGGCAAGTTCTTATTACAAATCAGTTGTCACCGTCAAGAATTTCCTGGGCAATTAGAGCAATTATTCCATCCGTAAGAGCAACAAAAGAAAGGAAGGTTTACTTTTTAAAAAGAAATATTTATGTAAGCATGCACATGCCTCTTTCTCTCTCACTCTCTCACATGCACTTTGTACGTATGTGTGGGTCTTAGGAATAAATAAATAGCATTTTATGGCTTTTCATGTCATGTAAATGGGAGCATAAATTACTGGGACTGGAAAAAGAATTATGTGGTCTGCACTCAACACAATAATAATTTATAATACTTTTATTATTTGTACCCCACCCATCTGAGTGGGTTGCCCCAGACACTCTGAGACACTTCGATTCTCAACAGAAACACAAAAGTCTCCCTGACAGACAGAGTTATTTAGACAGAGTATAAGAGTATATAGATCCAAAAAACTTTGACTGACATTAACATTAAGGCCCACAAGTTTTGATCCTAAGTTTGGGAGTGGGAAGCGGCTGTCACATTCCTGAACACTTCCGACAACCCTGTCACCTTCGTCAGATCAGGTAACTTGGCCTCAGTGAAATGACCTTGGTCCCCCCAAGGGCCAGGAGCTCATTGAACTGAGCACACAAACGACTTTCTGTCTACCAGAAAGATATTCATACATGTGTCATTCTATGCAATACCTTTGATAGCCCTCAGATCTCTGCTATCTTTCTACCTGCATACCTGTTTATTAATTTACACGGAGCTTGGGGTTTATGTCATGCCAAAAAGTGGGGTGGGGTGGGGTGGAGGAGCACAGTCTGCCCAGGCTTCCTTGACCTACAATAGATGTACTTCTCGCTGTTTATTTGTTTGTTTTGTAACTCAAGAAAACCTTTACTTAAAGCTTTTTTAAATTATTTTTTAAGGAGTACAGTTGCACCTTGGTTTTGGAAGTTTAGTTCCCGAACATGTTGGCTCCAGAAAACTACAAACCCAGAAGTGACTGTTCCAGTTTGCGAACTATTTTTGGAAGTCGAACATCCGACAGGGTTTCCACAGCTTCCGATTGGCTGCAGGAGCTTCCTGCAGCAAACCAGAAGCCACGCTTTGGATTCCAAACGTTCTGGAAGTCGAACGGACTTCTGGAACGGATTCTCTTCAACTTCCAAGGTACGACTGTAGTCTTTAACAAATCTTTAAAAGATTTGTTCTTATTCCAGAATACCACCCTCCAATGAGAGATAAGCTATTCAAACCCATTATTTGTAGTGCTTTCTTAAACGACAAGATTAAGAAATGGCACCCCTTTCATTTTTAGGCTTTCTAGTACTAGTAACAGAAAAGAATCACATTTGTGGCTCTATTCAATAAAGCTAAATATATCTCCACTGGCCATGCCTTACAAAGAAAATGTCTTTGGGAAAGGCTGTTTGGATGCCTACAACGAAGAATATGATATCGGTGTAACCGCAACAGCCAAAGTTTTCACCTCCTGCTTGTTTGCACAAAGAAGTCCATGAAAACAGATGAGAACATCAGGTTAACTCTCTACCATTGATGCAGTTGTAGCAGGGCTTACCTGGAGAGTTCTGAGGAGAGGACACTGGGGAACCTCGTGGAGATTGGCAATAACTGGGATGAAGTAAGGCATGCGGCGGTACATATGACATTATTTCCTCTTCAAATAAACTAAAAGAAAATTTGGGGGGGGGGGAGAGAACAAGGAAAAGGGTCAAGCACATCCTCCGAACCTACCATTCCTGCTTCCAATCACGCTCACTGTAATTAGTTTTGCCTGCTCTAAAATATCACCTGGCATTCTTTCATGTATTTGGGACAGGATTCCGAGAAAGATGCATACCGTATTTTTCCGTGTATAAGATGCCCCAGTGTATAAGACGCCCCTATTTTGGGGGACTCAAAATTAAGAAAATGGGGGGGGGATTGCCCCCATGTATAAGACTACCCCCCTTTTTAAACATTATTTTTTTAGTAAAAAAACAACAACTAGTCTTATACACGGAAAAGTACGGTACGTTGTGGTCCCAACATCACAACATCATGAATCTTTACACTGCATCTCCTGAGAGTAGCCCTTCGTCTCTCAGCCAATGACAAAGCAAGCACTTTGTGAATGAGACACAAACAATGCTGTGGGATAAAGGGTCCATGTGCAGATAAGTCTTTCGGTTTTTTTGGGGGGGGGCACGATCATGCCTGCTGGCAAGCTTTACTATGTCTGTGTGCCCAATGTTGGCACACTGAATGCCACACCTGTATTTAAGCCTCTGCATGTAGGTTAAGAGAGGAATGGGAGATCAATGAAGGACGGGGATAAGAAGTCTGCATGCAAGGGCCAACGCACAGCATATCTTTGAAACAATAGCTGAGCTCCACTCTCTAATTCCCACAAACCTTTTGGCATGGGTAGGCAAACTAAGGCCCGGGGGCCAGATCCAGCCCAATCGCCTTCTAAATCCGGCCCGCGGACGGTCCGGGAATCAGCGTGTTTTTACATGAGTAGAATTTGTGCTTTTATTTAAAATGCATCTCTGGGTTATTTGTGGCGCATAGGAATTTGTTCACACAGCCCCCCCTCAAAATATAGTCCGGCCCCCTACAAGGTCTGAGGGACAGTGGACTGGCCCCCTGCTGAAAAGGTTTGCTGACCCCTGCCTTATGGCCTAAAATATGTTCCTCTTCCGTGAGAAATACAACCTTGAATTCTGGTTCCTCCTAGTCAAAATTCTACCTCTTCTTCATACACATTGTAGTATCTATCCTTCCCTTGTTTGTTTCCACAATTATGCAAATATTCGGTTTTCTTCTAAGCCGATGTCCAGCCCTTTCCTGGCTCTTGCCCCTCCCTTCTTCTCGCACTGCCAGCATTTTCCACAGAACTGTGGAGTTGGAAAGGAGCACGAGGCTCATTTAGTGAGTAGTCCAACCCCATACAATGCAGGAATCCCTTTTGCCCAACGTGCTTGAACCCACAACCCTGAGATTAAGAATCTCATGCTCTACCGAATGAGCTACTGTCTGTTTCTGCCTTTCCATCTAGATGCATAGCCGCAATTGTGCAAATGCAGCTGTTTTCAATTAAAACGAAAATGTTTTAATCCAAAGCCTTTCACTAGTCATTCTGGAAGGCAAGAGATGGTAGAACCAATTTATCAACAAAGAGGCATGAAGAAAGCCAGGGGGTTTTTTTGGGGGGGGAGGAAGTATGTTGAGACAAACACAGGCTACATATGTGCATAAATTTGGGCTACAATTCCCGCCCACCCCCAATATTACATAGATTCGACAATAGCCATGCTATCGAGTGGCTCTTTACAACTGATTGGAGTCTATTTGGATTGACAGGTTTCTCGAGATAAATAAATAAATATCCTCAACTGAAAGCAAGCTGCAATTCAGAAACTTAACACGGACAATTCTGTCATCTAAATCCTCGGCTGCATCTCCCCCAGCTTCATTTCAAAGAACTGAGGGGAGAGAGCTTGCCGAGGTCACCAGAGCAGTTTGCACAAACGTTCCAAGGTGATTAAAAAATCGAACAAACCCATATTCGTTGTAGAACAGCACCATGTACCTTAGTAACATGACAAGGTCTGCATCACTAGACAGGCGCACGAGTCCCGGGGTCCCTTCAGTCCGAATAAACTGGATCTTCTCCCTGTTGAGGCAGGCACAGCGTTCTAAAGCATCACTTGCAAACAAGGCACTGACGTACGCCAGGACAGCGAGGAAAAGCACTGGGTATATCAAGTGCACCTCTAGATTATCCCTCTGCATTTCAGGAACCATTTTCTGACCTGCTGCAACATGTCAACGTGAAGGGAGGAATCTCGAAACCAGCCCCATCCCCCCATCTCACCCAAGCCCCTAAACGAATGCATTCGGAAGAAGGGTGTGTTGTGTTTCGCTGTTGTCCTCATCTTTCAGAAGCTCAAGCGCTGCTCCCAGGTACCCAACCAATGGAAATCAATCCTTCAACTTGACACAAGTAGTGTGGCTCTGAATTCCAAGCGGCAGCTCAAGCGCCGGAGAAGGCTATTGCTATTCCGAAAGAACGCGTGTGCACCTGCTCTGCTCTCAGCACAAACGTCAAGAGAATCCTGTTAATTTTCAAGAGCACAGAGCTTACCAGGAGCGAGAGAAAGGCATATTGTTCTGCAAACCCAGCTCAGTCAATCTGAGATAGTGGCAGTCTGGTGAGCTTCTGCCTGTTTTGTTTTTGGGGGTTTTTTTTAACCACTTTTTGACTGACACGCACCTTTTTAGGGGAATGGGCGCAGATCAGTGGAAAAAGCATCTGCTTTGGATGCAGAAGGTATGCCAGGTTCAATTCCTGGCACCTCCAGGTAAGGCCGAGAGAGGTCCTCTGTCTGAAACTGTGGACAGCTGCTGCCAGTCAGTGTAGACAATAAAGAGGTAGAACAATGGCCTCACTCTACTCCCATGTTTTGCATGATGCACCAGCTCTTATACAGCAGCAACTTCCAGAGGAGCAGCCATGTTAAGTCTTTTGCACAAAACCAACAAGCAGTGCTGCGGTGTCTTAAAAGACTAAACCATTTCTAATGTCATAAGCTTTCATGGACTACAGTTCTGCTTCATCAGACGGCTTCAGATGCAGACGATCAATGGAACTGTAGTTCAGGAAAGCTTCTTCCATAGTAAATTTGTTCGATTTTAAGGTGCTACAAGAACCGCTCTTGGTCTTTAATAAGTTCCTCTCTGCATGCATGAGCACACTTTGCATTTTTTAAAGAGGGTAAAAACCTGAAATTCACTCTCCTGTCAGTGTTTTTAGAATTCGTGTATCGTTTCTGTAAAAAGCAGCCATTCTCATCCCCTTTGGTTGCTGCTGCTGGTGTGCGTGTAGAAGAACATGCCATTCCTCTTCATGCAAGCACCTCTTACTTTCAGAACCACGCAGACAGGATTTCCTTTTGGTTCATTTCTCGCCTTTCAGGGCTGTGCTGTCACTATTTGTCACTCTGAGAGACTTTTAAAAGTCTCACGATGCTGAAAGAGAACCAATGCAGCTACAGCTGGTTTCACTCTTTTTCCATCGCCATTCATCACTCATAGAGTGCTGGCCAGAGAGAGCAGTAGAAGCATTCATAGCCTCTCCCTGGACATAATTCAGGGGGGAAATAACAGCACCAAAAAAAGTATTAAAAAATTGCTGGCAGCTATTGGTTCACACACCTAAGTGAAGAAGCAATGTCTGCTCCCCATCTCTGAGAAATTAATGCCTGGATTGGAACCCAGATCTGTCCCAAACTTTACATCAAACCATCTCCATCTTGGAAACAACTCATGGCTGCAACATCCAGAATAATTTCTTCGATTTTTATTTTTCCTACCTCCCATTCTCCACTGCTTTGAGTAACATTGTGGAGAACTCAAAAGCTTCTCATACCCTTCGTGACAATTTTGGGAGCAGACCTGCAGGAGAACTAAGCAGAGAGAGGATTTCTGGCACTGTCCTGGCCCCTGCCTGGTGTGCTCCCCCAGCCAGCAAGTGTGTGTGTGTGTGGTTTTCTGCCTGCATCTGTTTGTTATTTCTGTTAGATATCTGCCTGGGAGTTTGGGGGCTGACTGAAGTGAGTGGAATTGCTTGCTTAGTGAGGAATTACAGCATGGTTGTCATCTAGAGCCTGCCTCACTGTAAGAACAGGCTCCGTCATGCGCTGTGGGGTTGACCCTGAAGTACAGCCGTACCTCGGATATCAAACGCCTTGCGAGTCAAACGTTTTGGCTCCCAAACACCGCAAACCCAGAAGTGAGTGTTCCGGTTTGCGAACGTTCTTTGGAATCTGAGCGTCCGACGTTGGTTCCGCAGCTTTTGATTGGCTGCAGAAGCCATGCCCTGGTTTCCAAACGTTTTGGAAGTCAAACAGACTTCCGGAATGGATTCCGTTCGACTTTCGAGGTTCAACTGTAAATGACATCCAAGGAGATTGTCCCTTTGGCTTGCCACTTTGGGGACCCCCAGAGACAGGTGTGCCTCCCTCCACGGTCAGGATATGGAACTGTAGGCCAGGCAGTGTAGGAGACAGATCTGCGATCCTTACCCAAGGGGACAAATTTGGTCGGTGGTGTCCCCCCCCCCAACCCAGTGACAGACAGGGGGAGGAGTGTTGTAGAGGTGCTACTATCTTCCATCTGACATTATGAGATGCAGCTCCTACGAGGCCTTAGTTTATTATCTGTATATACTGATTTTGGATGATGGTGCTAGGATGTGCCGGGGTAGACAGGTAGCTGCAAAGAGGCTGCCCCAATTTCTGCGGTGGCAGTGGGCAGAGGGAAGTATTGTTGGGAGTGCAGGGAGCTCACCATCATCTGAGGTGGTGGCAACAACAAACTCTTACTTATGTTGCAACCAAGCCTGAGCGACCCTGGGCCTTGAACGCTCCCCTTTCCCTTCCAGTATAACCTCAAGGAAGACATTCGGGTGCATGCACTTAAGTGTTTTGTCTGAACCTGGACAAACTGTGGTTAGTCTCAACTACAGCTGACTGAAGCAAGCCAGCTTCAAAGCTTGTTTTGTGAAGCGGACTCATTCAACAGAGCAGATAAGATTAACACAGTTGAGGGTTTGTATGCAATACCAAACTGTTGCACTAAATTGAAATCTTCCTTGCAGCTGTGCTCAGCTGGGGGGAGGCACAAGAGCCTCCCACTCCAACACACAATAAGCCATAGTTTTATCATTAAGGCTGAAGGCAGGTAATAAGCGGATATATTAAACAGGTTGCCGTATTTTGCTTGCAACTCAAAATTAAACCAACAGCCGGCTTCGATGTTGGGAAAGAAAGATTAGCACTATGCTCACCTGAGTGAATGATTCCTGGTAAGATCTGGTTGCCGCTCCTGCAGAATTTCAAAGATATTGGGCTGTCGCAGAAAAGCAACAATCTTGTCGTTGTAAGCTGAAAATTCAAGAAAGGGCATCTTACTGGAAAATACAGCTAACTAAAACCTTGGGGGGGGGGGGTTAGGCTCCACTACCATCTGTGGTTAAACCACAGAGCCTAGGGCTTGCCACACAGCCTAGGGCTTGCCGATCAGAAGGTTGGCGGTTCGAATCCCTGTGATGGGGTGAGCTACCATTGCTCTGTCACAGCTCCTGCCAACCTAGCAGTTTGAAAGCACGGAGTGCAAGTAGATAAATAGGTACTGCTCCGGCGGGAAGGTAAATGGCATTTCCGTGCACTGCTCTGGTTCGCCAGAAGTGGCTTAGTCATGCTGGCCACATGACTCAGAAGCTATACACCTGCTCACCCCAGAGTCATCCGCGACTGGACCTAATGGTCAGGGGTCCCTTTACCTTTACCATCTCCCTGAGAAATGGATGCCTTTGGAGAAGGAGGTGTCTTTTCCAAAGGGACAACAACTATCTTTTGGCACTTAGCCCCTGCTAGCTAAATCTAACCCTTAACATGATGATCATCAGTGGTGCGGTGGTCCAGGATCATGGGGGTACTGAAGAGCCATTACTATTACCTGCAGGGCCCCTGTTTCCAGCATGGCAGAACCACCCAATCAGCATGGAAGGGGAGTTTTTTAGCCACTGTATGCTCTGAAGCTAAGCACTAGAAACACTAAAAACATAAGGTGCTTTGGTTTCAAGGGAATGGTGCTCAAGCTATGCTATAAAACAGAAAAGCCACCCTGAAAGAAAATATTGGAGCACTCCAAATCATCTGTCCCTGCATGCGAGCAGAAAATAGTAAAGGTAAAGGGACCCCTGACCATTAGGTCCAGTCGTGGACAACTCTGGGGTTGCAGCGCTCATCTCGCTTTATTGGCCGAGGGAGCCGGAGTACAGCTTCCGGGTCATGTGACCAGCATGACTAAGCCACTTCTGGCAAACCAGAGCAGCACACGGAAATGCCATTTACCTTCCCACCGGAGCGGTACCTATTTATCTACTTGCACTTTGACGTGCTTTCGAACTGCTAGGTTGGCAGGAGCTGGGACTGAGCAACGGGAGCTCACCCCGTCGCGGGAATTCGAACCGCCGACCTTCTGATTGGCAAGCCCTAGGCTCTGTGGTTTAACCCACAGAGCCACCCTAAAAGGCAGCACATGAAGACTTGCATTAACCATTGCAATCTAATTATGATGATGATGATTTTGTAATCATAAGATTATTGAATAATCATAGAATTGTAGCGTTGACCATGAGGGTCATCTGGTCCAACCCCCGGGAATGCAGGAATCTTTTCCCAATGTGGGGCTCAAACCCATGACCCTGAAATTAAGAGTCTCGTGCTTTAACAATTGAGCTATCCCAGATGCTTAGAGGCATGGTCACGCGGGGGCATGACTATGACTATCACAAGACTCTGCACATCAGAATTTCCCACTACACTACTGATGATTTTACTCTCTTTTTTTTCTACCCAAAGATGGGGTAAGGCATGGGGAGAACCAGAATAAAGGTGATTCAAAGTTGTTGGAAGATTTGAAGTGATGTAGGTACACGGGTGGAGGAACTTGTGCCATAAGCACTGTTGAACAGGATAGCTGCAGCAGCATCGAAGTTGCTTATCCACACAGAAAAACATTTGTGGCAGTGCTGCTTCCTGTGGCAAGAACCACAGTTTATAAGTAACGATGTCTAGCTGCTTGGGTGTGCAGTCATCCGGTGCAGACAAAATTTAAGTTAAAAAAAAAAAGCAAACTAGAATCTGTACACCTAGTACGCTAAAACACAAGAAGAATTAAATTCAGAGTACAGAATGAACGTTATCACTCAGGCTCCAACCGGATAGGCAACACAATCCTTTGCATGCTTACTCGAAAGCAGGGTGGATAAAAATAAATGATTTAAAAAAAAAATCGGATTTTTTTATTTAAATCGGAACTTTGTGATTTTAATTGGATTTTTAAAATAAAATAAAATCTTTCTAAAGATAGTTTTCTATTTAAGTTATATTATAATCCAAAGTCTATGCATCAGGAAATAAGGATTTGTTTTAAGTTTTTCATGTGTGCTAAAACTCAGTCTTAAGGGTGTTTTTTTTTAAAAAAAAAATTGTTGAACCACATGAGTTAACAAACATTGATACATATGCTATAATGTAATTGCTTTAGTTAAATAATTAGTTTAAATTGTTGTTAAGGAAATGATTATTTTTCTCCTTCCGATAAAGTGCAGCAGAAAAGTTGTCCAAATATAGAGAGTTTACTTATTAAAACTCACAACAATTTCATCATTATCTGTCTGTGTATTTCTAATAGTATAACCAAATCAATAATTTTTGATGTAACTGTAAAAACTACTCTGAAAATTTATTATTCCAAAAACGAAACCTTCCCCTGGTTGTAAATATTAAGATGATACCAGCAAGAACGAGTCTTTCTGTAAAAATAATGATTTTAAACAAGTCTTACTGACTAGTGGTTTAAATCGATTTGATTTCAATCAAGTCCACCCTGCTCGGAAGTAAGCCCTACTAAGTTAAATCGGGCTTGCTCCTTACATAAGTAGGTTTAGGACCGGAGCCTACAAGGCCTGGAATCCATTCTGTAGTTGCATTTGAAGTAGAGAAGCTTTTTCAAAGCGTTACCATATGCAGCACTGAGGGAACGGGCAGCAGCAGAAGCTTAAATCAGCAGCGACTGTCAAGAAACAGTGCTGCTGAGCAAACATCCAGGCACTCCATCAGGTTAATTGGCCGTGGGTGTCTTCCCCCACAATGTGACAGCTGCTACATTCAGTGAATTAGCTTCTGTTCTTGAAAGGCATGAATCACCATAACTGGAGCCAATGGGTTTTGCCGTGTGTAAGTAAGAATCGGGCGCACAAGCAGTTTCCAAGACAACTCAACCCACTGAAAAGGCAAAGCTGATATTAAAAGCAACAGTGCTGTGCAGAAACCTGAGCCACTTATTAAACCGGTGAGCAGCTTGCAACTTTCATAATCGAGCATTTCACGCAGAAAACAGCACACAAAAATGATCAACCTGAAAGAATGCTTTTCTGTTGAAACTGCTCTTGCTGTTCTGTTCTGATAACAATCTGCTGCACACTTAAGGCTGCCGGATGCAGAATATCAAACTGTGGCACACTTAACTCGCATATTTATTGAGCAAATGTTCACTGCCTATATTTGCAATTTTCAATGTTTGTGTTTTTCTCAAGCAGATATTTCTGAACAGCTTTCATATTTTTCCAAAGCTCAGCAAGGCTACAATGTTCATACGGAACGCCACACAAACAGAGGCTTCTGCCACAGAACTTTTCTGTGGCTATATATCCATGGATAACCTAATATTGATGAATAATGTTAAATAATGTTCAACAAAGGCAAAATGTACGGTGAAGGAATGGGAGAGGAATTCACTCGGTCTCTTTTTGCAGCAAAATGGCCCAATCTGACACTCCCAAACTAATTTGGGGATTGGAATGCAACTCCCAGGCAGATCACACACTTTTCTGGATTCTGCACAGTGGTTTCAGTGTGCAGAATATGTGCACAAAAAATACTTTTTTATACAAAGCATGTTTGCAAAAGGTACATTTTCATGAATGAATGCACTGACTTCAGGTCCAGTGTTGGACCATTTCGATCGAATAATCCCTACTGATGTGGATAGATTCCTCCAAGTTAGTAGGCCCACCACCTACCTCCTTGATCCGTGCCCGTCTTGGCTGATTAGGGAGTGTCCAGATGTTGCGCGGACCCCCCTGGTTGAAATTATCAATTTGTCCCTTGACACGGGGACATTCCCAGGGGAACTGAAGGAAGCAGTGGTATGTCCACTCTTAAAGAAAACTTCATTAGATCCCTTAGACCTATCCAATTACCGCCCAGTTTCAAATCTTCCATATCTGGGTAAGGTAATTGAGAGAGCGGTTGCTGAACAGCTTGGTAGGTTTCTGGAGGAAACATCGGCTTTAGATCCATTTCAGTCCGGTTTCTGTCCTGGTTTTGGGACCGAGACGGCTCTGGTTGTCCTAACAGACAATCTCCGTAGACAGCTGGATCGAGGCGGGTCAAGACTGGAGATCCTTTTAGATTTGTCAGCAGCCTTTCACATGGTTGATGATGATCTTCTGGACCACCGCCTCGCAGATGTGGGGATACAGGGCATAGCCCGTAACTAGCTGTGCTCTTTTATCTCTGGTCGGGGACAGAGGGTGGCACTAGGGAGGGAAATGTCGTCGCGCCACTCCTTGGTGTGTGGAGTGCCGCAGGGCGCAATCCTCTCCCCAATGCTTTTTAACATCTTTATGCGCCCCCTTGCCCAGATTATCCGGAGCTTTGGGCTGGGCTGTCACCAATATGCTGATGACACTCAGCTCTATCTGCTGATGGATGGCCACACCGACTCGGCCCCAAACACACTGACCAGATGCTTGGAAGCTGTGGCTGGATGGTTTCATGGGAGCCGATTGAAACTAAATCCTTTGAAGACAGAGGTCCTATGGCTGGGTCGGGATGGCATGGGGATGAGGGACCAATTCCCTTCTCTTGCGGGGGCCCAATTAGTGCCATTGCCTTCCGTTAAGAGTTTGGGTGTAATCCTTGACGCCTCCCTTTCCACGGAGGCGCAAGTTACAGCAACAGCCAAGGCGACATTTTTCCACCTTCGCCGCATCAAGCAGTTGGTCCCTTACCTTTCCCGCCCCGACCTGGCCACAGTGATCCATGCGACGGTCATCTCCAGGCTTGACTACTGTAATTCGCTCTACGCGGGGCTGCCCTTGAAGCTGTCCCAGAAACTCCAGCGGGTGCAGAATGCTGCAGCGAGACTCCTCACGGAGTCTCTGCCATGGGAGCATATTCACCCAGTGCTTTTCAAGCTGCACTGGCTCCTGGTGGAGTACAGGGTCAGATTTAAGGTGCTGCTTTTGACCTTTAAAGCCCTTCACGGCCTAGGACCCTCGTACCTATGGGACCGCCTCTCCCGGTATGCCCCATGGAGAGCCTCAAGGTCCATAAATAGCAACACCCTAGTGGTCCCGGGCCCTAAGGAAGTTAGATTGGCTTCAACCAGAGCCAGGGCCTTTTCAACTCTGGCTCCGGTCTGGTGGAACGCTCTGCCTCATGAGACCAGGGCCCTGCAGGATCTGATTTCTTTCCGCAGGGCCTGTAAGACAGAGTTGTTCCGCCTGGCCTTTGGCTTGGAGCCAATTTGATTCCCTCCCTCTCTTTCTTTTTTCTTTTCCTTCTCCTTCTGCGATGAGGCTACATTTTAATATTTAAATGTTTCAATATTTTAATGTTGTATTTTTTAATTTTGTTTTTAAGTTGTAATCATTTAACTTGTTTTTATTATTGCTTGTAAGCCGCTCTGAGCCCGGCCTTGGCTGGGGAGGGCGGGGTATAAATAAAAATTATTATTATTATTATTATTATTATTATTAAAAGCATTGAAAAGTGTACAAAATGGTGTACCGCTTAAATGTGGTCTTTTTGTGCATTCTTTTTTTTAAAAAAAAAACCCGGCACAAAATGTCATGGAAACTCTTTTGTTGAAATCTTCTTAATGCATATTAGACTCTGCTTTCGTGTAAGTGGACACACAAAGCAACTTGCAAGTTTAAAAACAACAGAACATAAAGATGTAAAAATAACAATCATCAATTAAAAAAAAACAGAGATTAAATCCTGCCAATTACTCTGCACCTTTGATAATGGTGGCCAAGCTCTGTTTTAGTAGGGGCAAGTTAATTCTTTGTCCAGGGCGGCTGACTACCAGCTCCACCTGGTACGCAGGCTGAGACCCTACCTGCCTGTGGACTGTCTTGCCAGAGTGGTGCATGCTCTAGTTATCTCCCGCTTGGACTACTGAAATGCGCTCTATGTGAGGCTACCTTTGAAGGTGACTCGGAAACTGCAATTAATCCAGAATGCGGCAGCTAGACTGGTGGCTGGGAATGCGGCCGCCGGGACCACAGAACACCGGTCCTGAGAGATCTGCATTGGCTCCCAGTACGTTTCCGAGCACCATTCAAACTGTTGGTGCTGACCTTTAAAGCCCTAAACGGCCTCGGTCCTGTATACCTGAAGGAGCGTCTCCACCCCCATCATTCAGCCCGGACACTGAGATCCAGGGCCGAGGGCCTTTTGGCGGTTCCCTCATTGCGAGAAGTGAGGTTACAGGGAACCAGACAGAGGGCCTTCTCGGTAGTGGCGCCCGCCCTGTGGAAGGCCCTCCCTTCAAATGTGAAGGGAAAAAGTAGCTATCTTATCTTTAAAAGACATCTGAAGGCAGCCCTGTTTAGGGAAGTTTTTAATATTTAATGCTGTATTGTTTTTAACACGCAATTGGAAGCCGCCCAG